TATTGATACATTATAATATATATAGTTAATTGTAAATTAAAACTATATATTATAAGAGATATTATTTGAATGAGATTCAAATAAAATTAATGTGAATAAGATTCATATTAAAACTATAGGTTAAAAATAATGTGCATAAGATGTACATTAAAACTATAGGTTATACGAGAGAAATGTTTTAAAATATGATTCTAATTTTATAATAAATAATTAAGTGTTAATTATTTATGTATATATATTTATTAATTATTAATTGGATTAATAATTAATTATATTTATTAATTATTTAGATTAATTAATTATATATATATATTAATTATTATATATATATATATTTATATATATATTATATATTATTATTATTATTATTATTATTAATATTAACTCCCATTCAATATTGCAGGAGAGTGGGAGGTTTTGTGACGTGGGGAGTTACCTCACGTCACCCTTCTTCTTCTTCAAGTGTTGGAGAATGGGAAGGGCAGGGGTTACAGAACAGAAAAAAAAACTCTCACCAATTCTCTCAAGAGCTCTATCAATCTCTCCCTCTCGTTCCAAAGAAATTCTCCCACAAGAACGATCTCATACCCAGAGGATAGCGAGGAAGGCTCGGTGGTGGTGTTCGTCGGAAATTTGTTGAAGAAACGTTCTTCAAAGGTATTGAGTTTTCTCTGTATTTTCTTTCTTTCAATTTCGGTTTTGTATCTCGAAAATCAGCAACGAAGATCCGCTTCCGCTCCGAGATTCACATCCCTTCAGGTAGGGGGGGACTCTCCTAAGGGGACCTAAAGCTCTCTACCGAGCTCGCCCTCCTAGACCTARAACTACCACTACACCTATCAGACATTGCTAAGCTAAGGCGAATGTACAGAGAAGAGAATGAGCTACTAATCTCGGCGCGAGAGTCGGAGGGATCTGGAAAATGCGAAATGAGGGGGGAGCCCACAAGCATATATATACACATAGAGACGCAATCCGGAGTGTACACGTGTCTCCAGTTGAACGGCTCAGATCGGGTGCAGGGCCTCGATGGCCGCGACGGGCGCRGGAGTCCTGGGGCAGCCATTCAATGATGCTGTCGGGGCCCATGATTGGTCCAGATAGCTAGCCCCAATCCGAGGGAAGGAGCAAACCCAGGTCGTCCGCCTCACCCCACTTGTCTTTCTGGTGGGTAGCCCGCCACCCAACCAGATAGGGGGCCTCTGTTGAGGGGTGACTGCATGCGGTCRATCTGGGCGTGACTACATCGGGAAAGCCGACCTGTCAGGTCRGCCTTAATGACGAACAGGTAGAGGAGTCGTACGATGGCGCGCAATGGAGCAGGGATTGGACCAGTAGCTGCCAGCGGTCCCTAGCCAAGTTCCTCGCCGAGTAGGGAAATACCCCGATGGGACGTATATCTGCCCACCAATCGCTATAAATACACTCTTCGACCCTGACTCCAGGTACGAAAAACYTGTCTGATGCTTACCAATTGAGCTTGACTTGAATACTAACTTGGGCGTCGGAGTGGTCGTCTCTTTGCAAGTACCCCGAGAAACCGCCTAAGTGCTTGAGGCCGACCTCCGAGGTCATCTTCCATACCTCAGTCAAATCTTGCATCAACATTCGTGAACATCCAAATAATAAATTTTAATTTCAATAATTTCATATTAATTTGATTCAAAACTCAATYAAGAATTTGAAATCATTTCTATTCAACTATCCAAATTCAAATGATTAAAGTCAAGCCTATCTCTTAATTTCTTTTTTGGTTTGCAAATCTATCCTTAACTTTCTCTAAAATTTTTGGTGTTTATTTCACTTTTCAAAATTAGGAAAAAAGAAGGATAAAGAGAGAAACCCTCCCTCGCGGTTGCTCTCGAGAACGCCGAACCCCAYCTCGTGCTTTCTCTCCCTTTCGTCTGCTATTCTTCCCCCTTCCCCCAATCTCCGGCGAAGACCCACGAATTTTCCTCTCCAGCGACGCGACTAGCGGCGGCGACACTACGGAATTTCATAACTCGGCAGCGCGGCTCCCCCTGTGAACTCGTTTCTTCTGCAGTGGCGCAACCTAGACCAGCAGCGGCAAGTGTTACCACGGCGGCATCGTCCCTGCTGACCCAAGCCGTTTTGGTGTGGGTCAATTGGTAACAGCTCCCTTAAACCCCTTTTCAATTTTTGATTTAAGTGTTCTGAACCGAATCCTTACTCCGGAAACCTTATCTCTTTTCTTTGAGAATCAAATGGTAGAATGCTCGTTAGGATATCTGTAACTAGTCCTTCCTTGTGAGGTTTGTTTGCTGCATGTTTGTTTGTTTATGTGCTTGTATTTTAATTTATATGTATGTGTGACTTCAAGTTCTGAATCATCAATTTTGGAATGAAGTTTSAGTTTATTATGTTATGACATAAGTTGATATTCTGTTGAAAAGTATGCTACTGTGTTGCTACTTGCTACTATAGTTGTTCACTATGATTATGGAAGCATGCTGCTGCATTGAAATTATTAGGTTGTGAGCATGACTTAGACTAATATATGTGTGTTATGTGGTTATGTAGCATGCTGTGAATTGAATGATGCTAGCTTGGTCATGGATTCAAAGTAGAAAGCATGTTTTAGGACTTAGATTGTGAGTTATGGGATTATACCGGGGAAGTTGAATTAAGTGGGTGAATATTAGAGCCTTGGGTAAAAATAGTTGGGGGCTAATATGCCACTATTGAGTGTCGAGGCTTTAGGTAAAAATGGTCGAGGGTTAATGCGATGAGTTTAATTTAATTGGAGGCAAGTATTGGGCCTTGAGGAAAATAGTCAATGACCAATATGTTACGAAGTCATCGAGGTCTTGGGTRAAAAGGGATGAAGCAATTTGGGGCCTCGAGTAAAGATGGTCAAAGGTCAAATATCAAGTTTGTAATGAAATGTCGAAGCTTTGGGTAAAAATGATCAAGGGACGATATGACTTGAAAGAGTAAATCTTGAAGGGGTTGGAAAGAGTTGGATATAACTTGAAGAGTTAGAAAGAAAAAGGAATTTGGCTCATGTGGTATTTTATGCATGCAGTATTTTGAAAAGTGCCTTGAGGCGTGTGCYTAGGCACTGGGCGCAATAGTGGTGCCTCTCCTTGAAAAGGCAAGGCAGAATTAAGTTGGGGCACTTTAAGTGCGCGCCTCCCTCAAGGCCCAAAAGCCCAAAGCCTTTGTGCTTTACAAGTATCTGTCGGAAAAAAAACTAACAACCCTAAATGTAGAAACCCTTGCATTTAAGGTTTTTTTTTTAATTGCGAAGGCTGTTGGTTGCAAAATCAGGCTAAAGCCTAAACCTTTATCTATTTCTCAAGATTTTCCACCCACGACTTTCGATCCTTTCCGTACATTTGCAATTGTGATACTATTTCGGGATTGTTTCATGTTTTTTGTGGAGCATTAACTCATTATGTTAGAAGACTTGCAATGTTTGAATCATATTTTACTTTTGTATGTCAATTATAACTTAATATCTAGTATAACTTCTTTATTTCCATATATGTTTATGTATATATACTTTTATGTAATTTTATATATTGTGCGCGGTGCACCCCACGAAAAAAAGCATGCACTTTTTTTTTTGTGCCTTGAGCTTAAGCTCCAGGGACTATTGCGCTTTGTGTGCCTCGAGCTTAAAAAATACTGTATGCCTGATGATAACTTATTGTTTGATGTGAGTTTTAAGCATGACTACATTATATATTTATGAGTTATACTTGTAATAATTGATGTTTTAAGCATGTTGTTGTCATGATTATCGATGTGCTTAATTGTTTGTGTGTGGCTTCTCAAGTGGGGCTTGCCGAGTATTCACATACTCACCTCCCCTAAAGATTTTGCAGGTAGCGATGAATTATGTGAGCATGGTGATGGCATAGAGAAGACTTGAATGGAAAAGACCATATGGCTGCGTATTTAGAATGTTATATTTGGTTACTTAAGCCGAGGAATAGGGCAGTTTCAGTTGATTCCCATTTCTAGTATAGGTTTTTCCGTGCTTTGGTTGGTTGCTATTTAAATGTCTTGGAATTAAAATTGTTAGCAAGATAGGTAGAATAGATGATTCTTTTGTTCCATTTGGAGGCAATTTGATTTTATTGATCTGTTTAACGAAAAGTTCTTGATTATTAGTTGAAATCTAGTTCCAATTTATGARAGTAGTCTTTATGCATTATTCAAACAGAAATTGATTGGATGGTCTTAGTAGTGTTCCCATTTTAGAGGTAGACAATTTGGGGGCGTTATAGTTGGTATCAAAGCAGAGAGTTGTTCCTGTACACTAGCCTAGTAACTAGGTTGTTCGTGTTAATGGTCTTTTTCAGTCTCCTCTCCATCACCAGGTACGTGGATTTGTTTTACCTTATTGATATTTGGTTCTGATATATGTATCTTTCACTTGATATATGCTTAATGCTTGACTTGTTTGTCTGCTTTGTTTATGAATAGTTAGGTATAGAATCCCTAAGCATGTCCTTCACTACCATTTTTCTGCTACCAACTCTAAGCCTTTTTTTTTTTTTTCCAAAGATGTTGGGATGAGGGCCTTTTGAAGGTTTTGAGAATAGAGGGACTTGAACCCATACAATTTTGACTTTTTCTGGAATAGCTGGCAGAGATTTTTATTTATATTTATTATTATTTTTTTTTTAAAATAAAGAGATCTTTCATTAGAAAAAGAAGAGCAAGACAACTTAAGGGCAGGGTTTGAGGAAACCCCCTTCGAAAACTACATAAGAATGACTCCAATCTCTAAAAACAATAGAGAGATCGGCTGGGACCAACCTGGCTAGTCCCGTCAACCCACTAGGCACAGTTGGCCATTAGGTCTCAATCTTTGGGCTAGATCTTCCTTGGGGCTTTATTTTTGGGCACGATTTGTTTCATTTTAGGTCATGATTTGTGGGATCTATTTAGGATTTAATTTCACTCATAACAGTTATAATTTTAGTTAACAATTGTTCGTTTATATACTTTAACCAATTACTATTGTATAGAAAATTTTTCTTTGATATCAAACTTAGCGTAATTCAACTGATTAAGCATATATTCTCCACTAAAATGTCGGAAGTTTAAATCCCTGTTCTACACATATTTGCAAATAAGTTTTTAAAAAAACATCCATTTAAAAATTTCAAAGAACTCTATCTAAACTATTTTAGATTGGTTTTTCTTCTCTTTCAAAAAGAGTATTATTGAAATGATAAGACAATTAGAAAGGGCCCAATTTGAGCAAGTTCATGGGCCTCCATATTATTTTAGTATTATTYTAGGGGCAACTAGAGGAATGACTATATTAAATAGTGCCAGCCAAAAGTATACAATATCATAAAAATGACTACAAAGTAGTTATAGTTCAATGCTAGAATTTTATGTGGACAAATATACCCTTCYACCAAAATAGCTAAAATTATCTTACAATTACCCCTAAAAATTTTATGGCAAAAATACCCTTGAAACAACTTTTTGCTACAGCTTAGGAAATATTACTTAATCAAATTTTTAGTTTAAAAATTTTCTATTCCTGTGGCACCACCAAGTGAGCTAGGAGCTCACTGCATACTACCAGAAAAGAGTCAAAAGAAGAAGCTCTATCTTCAAAAATCATATGATTCCTTCCAAGCTAAGTATTCCAAAGGAGAGCTCTGACAACACAAGACCATAGGACGTTTCCTTTCCCTTGCAGCCGCCACCCTTGAAGAACTTCAACCTGCCAATCCTCTACAGAGTGCGACATACAACCAGGCTAGCCAAAAAGGTGAAATAATAAGTGCCACCCCTTAGTAGCAAAAGGATAGTGGATGAAAAGTTTGTCTATTAATTCTTCCTCCCTTTAAGTAAAGCAAGCACGTTGATGGAGACCTGGTCCAATTAGGATACTTTCTTTGCAACCTGTTGTGTATGTTAAACAATATGTGAGCTAGATACCATAAAAAAACCTGTACTTTCTTGGGGAACTCTCCCTTCCAAATTAGATTAAGGTGGGGAGTTTTCAGCTTTGGCGTCACATCAAAGAGCTTTGACATTACTAACTTCGTTGAAAAGAGACTTGAAGGCTCTAGGGGAAGTTTCAGCTTTGGTGTAACATCAAAGAACTTCGACATTACTGACTTTGTTGAAAAGAGACCCGAAGGCTCTAGGGACCATACCGCCTTGTCCATTTCCTCCCCGACCTTCATAGCATCGAGTCTAGACACCAGGTCCACCCAACTATCAACATCTCTGTCTAGCAGCCCCCTTCTTAGCCCCAAATTTCAGTCATTCTGCTCCTCATTCTAGCGATTAGCAACAGTTGCATAGCTATTGTGCAATAGCAAATACAGGTTGGGGAAATCATGGGCTAGAGAATTTTCCCTACTCCACCTGGCCTTCCAAAACCTAATCCTTCTCCCTTGATTAGCTTTAAGAGAAAGAAACTTGGGGAAAAAAGCGTTGTTCCTTGCTATATCAAACTGAGGTCTCCCTCTAGCTTTACCTTTGGGTTTTCTGGTCATCCACTCTGGCAATAATTCTTCTCGACAGGACAATCTCCTCTTGGGTGAACCTCCATAGCCACTTGATAAGCAACGCATTCAAGGGAGTTCGTATCACATTCACTAACCAAAGTATGGCAAAGATACCCTTTGTCACTATATGCAGCTATATACAATATCTACTAATACCATGTTTGCCCCTCTATGTAACAAGGGGCCCCACCCCTCTAACAGACTCATTCCCCAATTACATCATCATGTCATCTCCTCACCCCCTCTTTCTAGTGTAAACCTTCCTAATTTGGGGTCTATCAGAATCGCTGAGGCATCCTTTTATTTGCTATAATTTTGGCTGAAACGGTTGGAACTTCATTTCACAATGCTTTGGTTTAGCTTGGTGTGCTCTCCCAAAAAGTTCTAAGTTGGCTTCTAGAGTTGCTCTTAGAGTGGAGGTTTTAAGAAAATGCTAGTGTTATGGTCACATGCCACTAGAGCTCTTCCCTTACTCTTTTGGAAATAAAGAAATGCCAAAAAGTTTNGAAATGCCAAAAAGTTTTTGGACAAAGGCAGATACTTTTGCCTTTTTTTTTTTTTTTTAAAAAATTATGCACAGTTTAGATCCTAGTGCTTTACAGAAATCCTTTTATAACTTTCCCATCTTGTCCCTGTGGCCTTTAGTCTGCACTTTTTGCTTCCTTTCTAGTGCAAGCCTTCCGTTTTGTATAAAAACAGCATTCTGGTCATCAATGTTGRACCTCCATGAAAACTCAAATGTCTGGATTAGCTACTGTTGGTTTTAATATGCTCCTAGCGTTGGAATATCAAAGAGTAAGCTTTAATCATTGAAGAGTGGTAATCCTGTAATTCTGTTGCATGATGAGAGTATGTTACTTTTGCTTTTGCGTTTGCATAAGCATTTATTTATTAATTTGGGAGTTTTATTGGTGGTGCTAAAGCCCAGCTGTTGGATTCTCTTATATTTTTATTTGCCAATGACTTTGTTTCTTACATTGTGCAATGATGTTGCTTACACAGGTGACCTAGATATGATTCTTAATGGATGCACCACGCCCACTGGGTGGTGCTTCTCAAATTCCAGGTTTTGTATTCCTAGCCGTTCTACTGCCTCGCGTACTCCAGGTTGCAGTATGCAAACTGCTAGGATTAGGAGTTCATGGGAACCTCGTTTAGAGCATCAGACATGTTTCTCTAAAGGTGCATACCAAACTTCTCACGATCTTTATTTATCTCTTATTTCAGTCTTTATGTCAAAACAATTATTTGCATACTATTGTGGATACACCATTGTAAAGGAATTCCTATTTGAGTTTTGTGACTCTGGCATCTTAAAGAATGAGGCTTCTGTGATTTCAGCAACTGACCTAATGATAAAATATTTCTAAAAAGTGGAAGAAATGTGAGAGCCCATCTATTGAATTCATGTCATATGTATATTATTGACCTATTTTTATTTGAGGTATGTCAATGATATAATTTATTAATGATATAAAAATGATTGGTATGTTAGTGATGGGCTTTATACCCAAAAATGATATATTAGTGATATACTTTATAGGTTAAATTAAAATTTTAGTCTAAGGTGTGTTAATAGATTTTTGAACTTTAAAAGTGTCTAGTAGGTCTCTAAACTTAATCTTGTGTCTAATTGGTTCTTGACCTATTTGATTTTTTTTTTAAATTAATGAATTTATGGACTTGTTAGATATTTTTAAAAATTCAAGAATTCATGAGACACAAACTTGAAATTAGGGACTACACTTGTAAAACCTGCTTTATATTAGGTATACCAGTAAAATATACTGTATCAATGACACAAAAATGATATATTAGTGACGTAGAAGAGAAAATTGTCATATTTGCAAATACAACAGGTAGTTTYGCTACCCATTATAAAGATTTACACTATCCTTTTTAGTAATAGAGTGAATGGTGTACTAATTGGTTATTTTCCACAGTAGGTCTCTTACCCTTAAAACTACGTGCTGCTTCTTCCCCTCTCTTAAGTGGGGATCTTGGTGGCTTGCTACATACAATCCCAAGGTTACCAAGGCAAAAAAGAATTGGCATGACACCACAAGCATCCAAGGATGTCCCTACGAGTTTCCGTTTYCCTCCAATGACGACGAAACCGAAATGGTGGTGGAGGACACTAGCATGCCTACCCTATCTAATGCCCCTTCACGAAACTTGGATGTATGCTGAAACAGCATACCATCTACACCCGTTCCTGGAGGACTTTGAATTCGCGACATATCCCTTTCTCGGAGCCATTGGGAGACTCCCAAGTTGGTTCTTGATGGCATATTTTTTCGTTGCCTATCTAGGAGTTGTAAGAAGGAAGGAATGGCCACACTTCTTGAGATTTCATGTAGTTATGGGCATGTTGTTGGAGATTGCCCTGCAAGTGATTGGTACAGTAAGTCGTTGGATGCCCCTTGCAGTCTATTGGGGTAAATTTGGGATGCACTTTTGGACYGCCGTTTCATTTGCTTACCTATTCACGGTCTTGGAATGCATACGCTGTGCTCTTGCAGGCATGTATGCTGATATCCCCTTCATCTGCGATGCAGCCTACATCCAGATTCCATATGATTAATGACTCTCCGGTTTTTTCTCTCACACCGTGTGAGTAGACATGTAAGTTTACTACTGCCCTTGTAAAGTGCAGTTGGAAATGAGCATTGAACATACCGAAGATGGCCATTCTCTTTATTCACTCTTTTGGCATTTTCGTTGAGAGTTGTAAAAGTTTTCAGGTAGTCTTTGGAAAACTAGTATCTTTGTCCTTGTAGAAATTGAGCATTCTGTATGGAAGAGCTGGAGAAAATTCATCCCCACTCCTCTGAGAGGGTAAATCTGTTAAATTTAACTTCAAACTTCTCTGCTTTCTTGTGGGCTTTGATTGATAATTTTTCTTTCCTTTACTCCAAAACTATTTTACTCTTGAGAAAACATTCAACTTCAGTTTCAGCTTCCAATATCGAATGCAGAAACCATTTTTGTTTGTTCCTTTTTTTTGAAGTATGGATTGAACCTTCAACCTTATGAAAGGTCATATAGCTGCCTTTGCTGTTTCCTCTTTTAAACTTGTCTGTGCTGTTTTAATATAGACTGGTCGGCCCGATCTAGTGAYGCTTGATTGTTGTAGTGTCAAGGCAAGAAAAGAATTGATAAAATGTCGAAATTGAATAAAAAAACCAGAGAAACTTGATGGAATTAATTGTAAATGAAATTGGTTCTATTTTCTTTAATGAATTTGAATCCTGATAGGATATGTTTGAGAATTCTTTTTCCCAACTAAAAGTACTTCTACCATAGTGAAAATGGACTTTTTACTTAAATCAACTTGTTCGGGAGTAATATCAAAGTACTTCTTGAARAGTTAAAAATGCTTGTATTTTGTGAGAGAGAATTTGCAGGTTTTTTCTGGTCAAAATGTGTTTGTAGGAAAGTACTGAAACGGTATTTAAATAATATATGTTCAGAACAGCAAATTGCATGCCTATTTTGTTTAAATTCGTTTTAAGCACTTTTTTAATGTTAATTTTAATGAAATTAATATGGCATGGATTATGTGATCAACCAGCAATGTAACACTATTAATTTATCTCCTCTCCCCTTTCTAGTAAATATGCCATTAAATTCTTAACAAAATTAAGCGAGAGCGAGTATATTTCAGTGATAATTTACATATATCTCCAGTTAAGAGGAACTCAAAATTAAGCGAGAGCGAGTATATCTCAGTGATAATTTACATATATCTCCAGTTAAGAGGTTATGAGTTCGATCCTCCACTCCCAATATAGTCTAAAGCGAGCATAGCTCAACGGTAATTGGCATATATCTCCAACTAAGAGGTTATGAGTTCGATCCCCCACCCTCAATATAGTCCAAAGCAAACACAACTTAGCGGTAATTGACATATAATCCTCACATGTTGTAGTAATATATATATATATATATATATATATATATATATAAAATTAACAACTATTTAAGGTAATTATTTTTTTGTCATTCTCATTCCTCTAAATTTTTTATTTCAATATAGTAATACAATTTATTTTTTTAAAATAAAATAAATAAAATTTATAAAAATATGATATAACAATTGATAGCTTTTTAAAAAATAAAAAATTGTAAAAAACATAAATAAAAACACAAATTCTAAAACAAAAATTGGTTCGGAAAAATAATTGTTAATAATTAAAAAATAATTTATTATATGAGTTAATTCAAGCTCGATCCAAAGGGTCAATCCAAGTCTGGTCAAATTTTGGTCTATTGGGCTATGGATTGGGCCATGAGTCTAGGTTTTAGTGGTTGAGTCAATTTAAGCCCARTCCAAACAATGCTTGAGGCCTGTAGAGTTTGGGCTTGGGTCAAGTTCGAGTTTTACTTATTTGGATTGGATTAGRTTGAGTTGGCTCAATGATAAGAGTGATACACCATATACAGATATATTATATTGTATTTAACAAAAATCGAGGGGGGCACGTGCCCCCCTCACATGGATCCGCCCTTGTGCATACCTCTATAAGGTCATGATGACTCCTTTTATAAGGCGAGGGATGTGGAAGGCGAGGAATAAAAGGTCCCGACACTCGATATCTCGTACTTGTCTTTGCAGGAGCAGTAACATCGCATAAAAGAYGATTCCCTAACACCTAGGTCACTCCCCAGAATGTTAGCGTTGAATACACTAACGGTCATCTTGAGTTTATACCCAGATCGACATATCTGAGTGGAGTGGTCCACGTGTAACCTCGTATTTAAATAAAAAGTTCCATTTTTTTAAAAAAAAGTTAAGTATTTGTTTAATAAATATAGGGGAAGTTAACTTCCACAACAAACTAAAAAAAACTATTGAATCAACTGAACAGATGAATACAAAGAAAATTCAAGTACAAATTGCGAGGCGTATAAACATCCGGTTCGAACTATCTCGATAGTATTAGACATAGAAATTTAGATAACCGTCAATCTAAAGATAGCTAAGTAATTAACACCTATACCTCTTAAGTTAAATCTCCGGCTCTAACCAAAAAAAAGTTTGTTGTTTTACACAGCAAAATCGATCAACAAGCCATTTATTAAATATTCAAAGCCGAAACGCTCGCCGTCTATCAGTCTTAAATGTGTTAGAAACTTGGACTTTTCCAGCTTCTAGATTTCCATAAATTCAAATTTCAATCCCAATCCCAATATCATGACTGACGAAAGCACCTTGTTTTCTTCTCTCAATCTCAACATTTTGCCTCCATTTTCCACCATTATTTTTCTCTGTCACATCACCATCTCTCTCTCTCATTAGTTTTTCTAAGCATTTGGTGGGTTTTGGTGGGGTCTTTAGATTGGTTTTTTCCTCCAAATTCCACCATTTTCCCATAGGAAACAAGTTGTAAAAAAGAGGGTCTTTTCATTCTCATCTCTGTTCCTGAAACCCATGATGTCCATCTTGAGCAAATCCAACAGTATGGGCAGTCCCTCTTTCCATGAATTGAAGAAACAAGCTTCTTTCTTTTTCAAGGAGAAAATCAAGACTGCCAGATTAGCCCTCACAGATGTCACCTCTGCTGAACTGTAAGTTCATTTTGAGTTCTTGGTTATGGTGGGGCTGCTTCTGATCTTTGAAATTTCTTCTGTTTTTGCCTTCTCAGATTGACTGAAGAAGCAATCAGTGGAAACCCTGATGCCAGGACTTTGAGTTCCATTTCCAAGGCAGCTTTTGAGCTTGATGACTACTGGAGAATTGTAGCAATTCTCCACAAAAGGTTTTCACTATCTACTTCTCTTTGTTCAATGTTTCAAAGTTCTAACAAAGTTTTGCTGATCATCATGGACAAAACCCATCAATCTTCAAAGCTTTCATTTTCTAATTGTAAGTCAGATTGGTGAAATTTGAAAAGAAGCATTGGAGACTTTCCTACAACTCTCTCATCATTCTTGAACATCTCTTGACTCATGGACCAGAGAGTGTAGCAGAGGAGTTTGATGATGACAAAGATGTTATTACCCAAATGGGAAGGTTCCAATATGTAGATGAAAAAGGGTAATGATTCCTTTTCAAGCTCTCACCCATCTCTAGTTTTGTTGCCAAATGATGCATTGAGCATTTGATGATGATATAAATATTGATAATTTGATTACAGCTTCAATTGGGGCATTTCAGTTAGAAAGAGATCAGAGAGGATATTGAGCCTGCTTGAAAAAGGGTCTCTTCTCAAAGAGGAGAGGGAGAAGGCTAGAAAGTTGACAAGAGAGATTCTAGGATTTGGAAGCTTCTCATTGAGATCAAAGTCTCCAGGAATTCTGGTAGAATCTTCTCAATCCATTGGAAGATATGGGAAGTGCAATTCCAACTCCAACATTCAGGACAATCTTGATCAAGAACATGATCGGGTCCTGTCTGATCAAAAGGCAACAAATCCACAGGGAAACCAAGAAGCTTTGGCTCATGTAGTAGATAGCCAGGAGATCGAAATGCCCGAAACTCGAGAAAGCGTCAAAGAAAACTTGGTTCCAAACAAGGAAGAGTTGCATAGATGGGATAATGGTGTGGGCGAGTCGAACCCGCTTTTGAGTGGTAAAAGAGAGGAGTTCATGGATGGAACTTCAGCTGATGACTATCATCATCCTTTCATCGATGCCGAACCCGAAACGAATGCCTCATTCCTTTCTGGATAAAGATAGAGGAATAGGATTTCTTTTGAGTTCTACTCATGATTCAATGTTAGAGGTCAAAAAGAAGGCTAAAAGTTTAGCATCTCTCGGTATCAAGATTAGAACTGTTTGTGACATTTGTAAGAAACTTGCATGTTTTATGTTGAACTTTTCCCTTTTGACACTCAAAATGACAGAAAAATTCATTTATACAATGAAATGTTTGACACACAAAGCTACTTTCAATTATGTCTATCAAAATCTTCTCCACTAAAATAGTAAACTTTGTATGAACTCACTCCAGTGTAGTAAGTTATGATTTACAAAGCCAGTCATAAATCAAAAGTCTCAAAGTGTGGTTTGGAGTTAGATGCAAACGATTCAATCTCAAATTAGTCATCGGTGAAGATTTCACGATCATTTCCCAACCACCCGCATATCGCTTCACCTTCGTATGTGAATCCATCTGCTGCTATCTATGGATCTTGCATAATCTCCTGCAGGATGGGGCATAAGAAATAAGGTAGCACTGGTGTCTCTTCTAAGACATATAACTGTTTTTGGCCTGTCCTGACTCTTCATTTCACAGCATTGCAGACCAAAGTCTACCAATCTCCTTGCAACAGTTTCAGGCCATTCTCCAGTAGATGAATCCAATACCAATTCTAATTGTCCAGATGATAACAGATTTCGCACTTCGCTCGGGCTGAGCCCGACCGTTGGCTTTCGAGTGAGTAGTTGCAAAATGATTAGCCCAAATGAGTAAACATCAGATTGAGAAGTCAGGACTCTAGTTCTTTGGAACTCTGGATCTGTATATGAGAAAGCACCCTTTGGCTCGGTGCTCGTTGGGAGACTTTGGATGTACGGCAACTCCTCAGATACTAGCCTGAAAATCCCGAAATCACCAATCTTGAAGCTAAGTTGAGAATCTAGAAGGATGATTTCGGGTTTTAGATCTCCATGAACAAGTTTCAGGCTTGGATGAGTGCAAAAAACAAAGAGCACTTGAAACTTCAGCAATGATTCACGCTCGGATTCTCCATGTCAATGGAGGAGTCTTACCCTTTGGAAAAAGGCGGTTTTGGAGACTCATTCGGTGAGTACTCGTATATTAGTGACCAGGCCTCCATACACACACCGAGCAAAGTCACCAAACGAGGTTGTTGTAGTTCACCAAGAAGATATGCCTACAAGTACAAAGATGGATACATGAAGATGGATCATGTATATGGAGGAAAATGATCCCTTTATATAACATCCAAGAGACACCTCTAGAAGACACAAAATATATGGATACATGTATACATATATACTATTCATGTATCTCAATACATTAACTTACATGAACCTAACAATTCATGAATCTAGAAATTCATGTATGTGTCTAGAAATTGAATCTAGCTTAAATTCTAACATCCCCTTAAGCTAGACTTCCATAACTCCAATCTTATCCTTCATTTTCAAGAACAAGCCTGTCTTCAATGATTTTGTAAATATATCTGCAACTTGATCTTGTGTCTTGCAATGAAGGAGAAACTTGGAGTTATGGAAGTCTAGCTTAAGGGGATGTTAGAATTTAAGCTAGATTCAATTTCTAGACAAATACATGAATTTCTAGATTCATGAATTGTTTGGTTCATGTAAGTTAATGTATTGAGATACATGAATAGTATGTATACATGTATCCATATATTTTGTGTCTTTTAGAGGTGTCTCTTGGATGTTATATAAATGGATCATTTTCCTCCAAAAAATCTTCAAAGGCAATATATTCTCCTCCACGATTAGAACGCAACATTTTCAATTTTAAGTTGTTTTTAGGGGTGTTCACGGGTTGGGTTGGGTTAGGTTAGGGGGTTTTTTGGGACCAACCCAAATTTTCGGGTTGACCATATGTTCAACCCAACCCAAATTGATGGCCAACCCAACCCCAACCCAACCTGGGTTGGGTTGTAGCTATTAATGGGTTTTTCTTGTATGCTTCTTTTTTTTTCCTTGAGACCACGAAAAAGAAGAGAGAGACGGAGAAGAAAAAGTTGTCCATGGGATTGGCTTGGATGTCCATTCTTCCTCCCTAGAAGAAAAAGTTGTCAAGATGATGAGAGCAATCAGATCTGAAATTAAGAGRAGACATAAAAGAAGTAGACGCGAGAGAGAGGGCAAAAAAAGAAGAAAAAAAGGCAGAGAGAACCCAAGTAGGGGCGTTAGTTTGAAACTTACCCACTTCAAAACGGGCAGCGGCAGAGTGGCAAGGCAGTGAGACAGCAACGGATGCAGCGGGAGGTGGGGTGGGAGGAGATGGTGCGGCGGCGACAGGAGGAGGGAGCTTCAAGTTCAAGCTTGGATGATGGATAAAAATGGAGGAGAGGATTTGGTTGGGTAAATGGAGGAGAGGAAGAGATTAGAAACTAGAGAGTAAGAATATGAAACCCTAAATGGAAATGGATGGTTGAGATTAAATGAAAATGGATGGCTGAGATTGAACCTAAAAAATAAGGTTTTGATTAATAATTATTATATATATGTATATATTAAAAAAAATAGGATGTCGGGTCGGGGCGAGTCAACCCGAGACCCGACCCAACCCAATGTTTAATCCTACCCATGGGTTGGGTTCGTCGGGTTGTTGAGTTTTTTGAACACCCYTAGTTGCTTTCATTTTCCACCCTTGCCTTGAATGTTTTGAAATACTCAAAAGTAGAACTTTTTTCTTTTAACAGGTAAATCCATGTCTTCCAACTATAGTCATCAATAAATGTGAGAAAATAACGATTACGTCCAAGCGTAGTAGTTCGCATGGGTCCACATAAGTCTGTATGGACTAGCTCGAGAGGTTTTGATGGTCTCCAAGAACCTCCTGTTGGAAATGGATTTCGATGATGCTTTCCCAARATACATGCTTCACAAAGTTGATCTTCTCTTTTAATATTTGACATTCCTCTCCATATATTGTTGATACATGTTAGACAAAGTGTCAAAACTTAGGTGCCCATATCGATAATGTCAAAGCCATGAAGAGTCCTTTACTAAAGTCTCAAAAACAAAGAAGCTTCTCATGGTACATTTTGATTGGAAACATTTTGTTGTGAGTCATGTGTATCTTTGTTAYGAGACTTCCATTCTTGGCTTCGATCTTACATATGCTATCTTTGAAGACAACATTATGTCCCTTCAATAGAAGCTGCCCAACATTTAAAAGATTGTGTTTGAGTCCTGGAACATAMTACACATCAGTGATTCTTTTTGCTCCATTCTTTGTCTTCACGATAATATCTCATTTTCCATTGAATGCGAGCTTCTTGTTGTCACCAGTCTTCACTTCATTTTGAAGAGATTCATCCAAAGTTATGAAAATATCCTTTCTTGATAGTGTACTTTGTGAGCTACAATTCATTAGACTTATATTGGASTTAATTGTTAGTTTTCGTTTCTTTATGACATTATTTACGCACATAAGATATATTTTCYAGGAATGAGTAATCGAGAGGAAATGAGACATAAATTGATCAAATTGAGAGGAAAATATAGCCCGAGCGAATAGAAGACACTACAACACTTAATCAAGCCCAAAGACCCGAGGAGATAGTGCCACGACATCATACCAGAGTGCCGAAAAACTCCGAAGTTTAAATTTCGTGTTTTCTAAATAGTGTAACACCATGGCCCCGTTGCGACGATTTTTAATAAATAGGGTTTTGCAGCCACCGAGAAGGTGGAGTTTGGGAGAGGTTTTTTGGCAGTTTACCTTTTTGGCCAATTTAGATGGCAAGGACACCACTAGAGAGCTTAGGAAAGAGATTTTCAAGGCTCGGGATCGTGGAGCTCGCTTCAGGAACGAACGATTGACACGCCGAACTTAATTTCTTCTCCTTTTCCTTGATTTTTCTAGTTTTGTTATGAACTTCTCATTGTGATTTTATTGTTTTCCATTGAATATGAGAAACTAAACCTCTTATCTTAAGGATTGATGTAGCCATTAAAATTTATGAATTGGTTGTTTAGTTTTTCTTGATTGAATGTTTATGAATATTCTATTATGTTTCTCTATGCTTAATGCCTTTAATCTACTGGCCATAGATTGATTGATTTTAGATTTGAAATCTTACGCTCGGGAGAGGTGATTTAGAGTTAGAACTGGGATGCATAACTAAAGGGGTTTTAAGATCGGGAGATTTAAAAGTCYTTTAGAGGTCGTTAAAAGACTTGTTCAATAAAGCATTTACTTGTTATAAAAACTAGATAGGGATATTGGTTTCTTAATTGGTAAGGAAAATTTGCTTGCGCTTGGGAGAGGCAGTTGAGATTTGAGAGTTTTTGGCCTATAGAATTAATAATTSGTTCAATCTTGAGTAATTAAGTAGTTGGTTCATAGATTCAATAGGTGRAATCAATTCCCTAGAACCTTTCACCCTATTTTTTTTTATCTTTATTAGTGCGTGTTTATTTTCTTTGATTCAGTTTCGATTCTCTAAATAAAATTGAGTGATTGTATTTGTGGTACTTGAGTAAGCTAGAAACCCAATCTAGAGGACGATATCGGTATTCACTTACCATCTACATTAAAACTTGACTCGTACACTTGCGGTAAGCAATTTTCTGCTACAAGTTTTTGGGGTCATTGCCGAGGATTGTCAATTATTTAGTTTCACTTGATATCGTGGAGAACTTGCTTGGTCTTAATTTAGAGTTTTTTTTTTTCTTTTGTATATACTTTCTGTATCTTGATTTTTTTAATTTTAATTTTTGTGTATTGTTTTCCTAGGTGTTTGGTTGAATGATATATGCTTGTATGTGAATCATGTCTTTTTATAATTACAAGTGGCCTTAGGAGGAGTCTTTGACCACCCAAGGGCCACCACTATCATTGAATTCTTATTCTTCAATTTACCCCTCTTGTGACCATGAGAATTCTTATGTCAATTATGGGTGTTTTTATGAAAGTTAAGTGCCTAATGATTATCATTCTCATTATATGAGATATGAAAATTCTTTGTATGGTGACAATGAAGGTACTTGGAGCCAAAATTATCCCAACTAGAGTGAGGAAAATTCGTCTCTTGAAGATTTATTGCGAGAATATATTTTGGAATGTAGAATTAAAAATCTTTCTACAAAAGAATCAKAAAGGATGAATAAGATAGAGGCCAAAGCAGATAGGATGGAGGCCACAATTGAAGAAAACAGGGTTGCTCTAAAGCATTTGGAAATACAACTTAGCCAGATAGTTAATTTTGCCACACCATTGAGGCAGAAACTTGTAAAGCTATATGCATTGATAGTGGGGATGAGTTGGAGAACTTTGAGCATGCATAAACCTGTAAAGCTATTTGCATTGATAAAGTGGGCCCCAACTCAGCATAACAGGTATTTTTTCGTTTTACTGCAGTAATTTCTCGGGTAAAAGTTGTCACTGTCAACTCTGTCTTTTTATGTCTTTTTGCTTCTGATGCTGCAGCATCAACAATGTTGCAACAAAACATTCAAAATTAGGCAATTCTTCAAAACTCTCAGCATTGTCTACTAAGGTAAAGATGTTAATGAATGTAAAACATTATTTGCACAAAATCAGTGTAGAATGAGTGTTAGTGTAGCTATCCTTAGCTAATTTATATAAAATTATTGCACAAATGACTCTCTTTTGGAGAGTTATCACTCTCGCTGATATTGGTGAAAAGCTAGATGACGAAAATCAATCTATCATACTCTTGAACTCATTACCCAAAAGTTACAGAGAAATTAAGTCGGCAATCAAATATAGCAGAGACTCACTGACCTTAAGTTTAATACTCGATGCACTACGCTCTAAAGATCTTGAAATCAGAACTCAAAAGAGAGAAACAGAGGCATTAACACTAAGGGGAAGAACAATATCACAAATCGGTAAAAAAAATCAGAAAAGGTTTTAGGACAAGAGTAGATCAAGATCAAAAAGGTAAAGATAAAGAACTAGATTGCTTTTACTGTCATAAAATGGGGTATGTTATTAAAGATTGTCCAAAACTACATGACAAAAACAAGCTCCAAAAAAAGAAAAATGAATCAAACTCTGCAAACATTCGCGAGGGCTATGATTCAGCAGAAGTTCTAATGATTTCTGACATAAATCCATCAAAAGAATGGATATTAGATT